AACCACAGACAGAATCACATCCTCTACATGATGTAGTTGTAGAGTTATAACCACAGACAGAATCACATCCTCTACATGATGTAGTTGTAGAGTTATAACCACAGACAGAATCACATCCTCTACATGATGTAGTTGTAGAGTTATAACCACAGACAGAATCACATCCTCTACATGATGTAGTTGTAGAGTTATAACCACAGACAGAATCACATCCTCTACATGATGTAGTTGTAGAGTTATAACCACAGACAGAATCACATCCTCTACATGATGTAGTTGTAGAGTTATAACCACAGACAGAATCACATCCTCTACATGATGTAGTTGTAGAGTTATAACCACAGACAGAATCACATCTTCTACATGATGTAGTTGTAGGTTTATAACCACAGACAGAATCACATCCTCTACATGATGTAGTTGTAGATTTATAACCACAGACAGAATTACATCCTTCACATGATGTGGTTGTGGCATTACAACAAGTACATTATTTTTTTTCTTCAGAGAACATTGTTGTAGTGTTTGAAGAAATATAATTCAATTCTCCACAGGAGATAAGACTCCAACACATCAATGAGCAGGTAAACAAATCGTAACTGAATCGTAACATCATATATAAACACTTAACTGATTGTACTACATGAACCTTTCTTACAGTTTTTGTTTTGGGTCTGCATTGAGTGAGAGCTAAGTTTTTATGATCAGAGGTGAGTGGACTCCACTTTGTGATCACAGTGGAGTGGAAGCTTGTTGATCAGAGTTGAATGGAAGCTTTGTGATCAGAGTTGAGTCGAGGCTTTGTGATCAGAAATAAGGGAATGCTTTGTGATCAGAGTTGAGTGGAGGCTTTGTGATAAGAGTTGAGGGAGGGCTTTGTAATCATAGTTGAGTGGAAGCTTTGTGATCAGGGTTGAGTGGAAGCTTTGTGATCAGAGTTGAGTGGAGGCTTTGTGATAAGAGTTGAGTGGAATCTTTGTGATCAGAGTTGAGTGGAAGCTTTGTGACCAGAGTTGAGTGGAAGCTTTGTGATCATAGTTGAATGGAAGCTTTGTGATCAGAGTTGAGTCGAGGCTTTGTGATCAGAAATAAGGGAATGTTTTGTGATCAGAGTTGAGTGGAGGCTTTGTGATAAGAGTTGAGGAAGGGCTTTGTAATAATAGTTGAGTGGAAGCTTTGTGATCAGAGTTGAGTGGAGGCTTTGTGATAAGAGTTGAGTGGAATCTTTGTGATCAGAGTTGAGTGGAAGCTTTGTGACCAGAGTTGAGTGGAAGCTTTGTGATCATAGTTGAATGGAAGCTTTGTGATCAGAGTTGAGTGGATGCTTTGTGATCAGACTTGAACGGAAGCTTTGTGATCAGAATTGAGTGGAAGCTTTGTGATCAGAGTTGAGGGGAGGCTTTGTGATAAGAGTTGAGGGAGGGCTTTGTAATCATAGTTGAGTGGAAGCTTTGTGATTAGAGTTGAGTGGAAGCTTTGTGATCAGAGTTGAGTTGAAGCTTTGTGACCAGAGTTGAGTGGAAGCTTTGTGATCATAGTTGAATGGAAGCTTTGTGATCAGAGTTGAGTCGAGGCTTTGTGATCAGAAATAAGGGAATGTTTTGTGATCAGAGTTGAGTGGAGGCTTTGTGATAAGAGTTGAGGTAGGGCTTTGTAATCATAGTTGAGTGGAAGCTTTGTGATTAGAGTTGAGTGGAAGCTTTGTGATCAGAGTTGAGTCGAGGCTTTGTGATCAGAAATAAGGGAATGTTTTGTGATCAGAGTTGAGTGGAGGCTTTGTGATAAGAGTTGAGGAAGGGCTTTGTAATAATAGTTGAGTGGAAGCTTTGTGATCAGAGTTGAGTCGAGGCTTTGTGATCAGAAATAAGGGAATGCTTTGTGATCAGAGTTGAGTGGAGGCTTTGTGATAAGAGTTGAGGAAGGGCTTTGTAATAATAGTTGAGTGGAAGCTTTGTGATCAGAGTTGAGTCGAGGCTTTGTGATCAGAAATAAGGGAATGTTTTGTGATCAGAGTTGAGTGGAGGCTTTGTGATAAGAGTTGAGGTAGGGCTTTGTAATCATAGTTGAGGGGAAGCTTTGTGATCAGAGTTGAGTGGAAGCTTTGGGACCAGAGTTGAGTGGAAGCTTTGTGATCAGAGTTGAGTGGGGGCTTTGTGATAAGAGTTGAGGTAGGGCTTTGTAATCATAGTTGAGGGGAAGCTTTGTGATCAGAGTTGAGTGGAAGCTTTGTGACCAGAGTTGAGTGGAAGCTTTGTGATCATAGTTGAATGGAAGCTTTGTGATCAGAGTTGAGTGGATGCGTTGTGATCAGAGTTGAATGGAAGCTTTGTGATCAGAGTTGAGTCGAGGCTTTGTGATCAGAAATAAGGGAATGTTTTGTGATCAGAGTTGAGTGGAGGCTTTGTGATAAGAGTTGAGTGGAAGCTTTGTGATCAGAGTTGAGTTGAAGCTTTGTGACCAGAGTTGAGTGGAAGCTTTGTGATCATAGTTGAATGGAAGCTTTGTGATCAGAGTTGAGTGGATGCTTTGTGATCAGACTTGAACGGAAGCTTTGTGATCAGAATTGAGTGGAAGCTTTGTGATCAGAGTTGAGTGGAGGCTTTGTCATAAGAGTTGAGGTAGGGCTTTGTAATCATAGTTGAGGGGAAGCTTTGTGATCAGAGTTGAGTGGAAGCTTTGTGATCAGAGTTTAGTGGAGGCTTTTTGATCAGAGTTGAGGGAAGGTTTTATAATCAGAATTGATTTTGTGATGATGCAACTATTTTTTTCATTTTATTTCTAAATATTTACCACGATATATATCATTACATTACAGTTCAAGTTTAGTGGTTGATTTGGTCTATATATATAACATTGATCTGCTTACTTAGGTCAGATTCCATTCCAAGAAGATGACATTGTAGCCCAAGATTTTAACAATCCTGGCGTATTTATATTCCAGCAAACCAATTCTTGTCAAAAAAGAAATTAAATGTCTCCAGATTTAGTTGTAATTCTGATAAAACTTGATAGAAAAGCCTGCCTGTATGTTCGTGACTGGGGTGTGTTTTGAGGGTAATGGCAGGATCAGACCTCCCCTAAGACTTCTGGGTGTCTGACTAACATTAAATAGCTACATATTCTAGCACGGTTGCATCATTATACTGTCATCAAGATGGTAACTACATCAGGCTTTCCATCTTTCTGCTGCATGGCTGAGTTTCTGGGAGAAATGTCACTGTTACAAAACCAGGAAGACATTTCCTACGCCCTCTCAGGAATACAGTTTAATCATTCAGATAGATGAAACACAAAAGATAGGGTTTCACATTAAAACCATAAACCCCTATGTTCTATAGCCAAAGATTCAAAGTTTGCATCTAAACGAGGCTGTATCAAGACGCTGTATCGTACTCCTCGGGGAACTGATTTGTAATGCAGAGATCTGTACTGAACCATTAACAAAGAATCCTTCCACTAGGATATACTGATGTATTGTGATCATAACTTTTGCATACTTGTACTTTTCATATGTTTTTGTCATTAGATTTGTTACGTCAAGTTAAAGATATAGGCTAGGACTGACATCAATACATATTTGGGACGACAAATGTGCTCATTAAATACAGGCTGTAACATATGTATATATACCATATTTATCCTGCAATAAGCCCAGGGGCCTACACATAATCTCTGGCTCAAAGAGGTGGGGTTGGGGCTGATAACAGTACTGTGAAATAATATTTGGCATTTCTACTTAAATAGATATGGGTGGGCTTATTACCAGGCATGGGCTTATTGCCAGATTAATATGTCATATAATAAACTGGTACATGTAAACAGACTGTATATATTTGTAGCCCTCTGTTAAACTTCATTGTTTATATTAATACATACATTTATACTCCTAGGAAAATACCAACTATGGGATAATTCATTGTAACCTTGAGATGTTTATCAATATATACCTATTTATCCAGAACCCTCATGCTGCAATTGGCTGAAGACTTTAGGAACTGTTTACTTTCACTTTACCTGTGTATGGGTGGCTGTACATGCGTGACATCCATATAATTTCTGTCTGTCAACTGTCTATCATGTGTTGTACATGTATACAAGACTGATCACAGACTGTCAAAGCAACATCTGCAAAATGTCTTTCTTTCGTCATGCTCTTTCTTTCTTTTCATCTGAATTCCATTCACTATACAGCTGGTGTTTTCGTTTATCGCGGTACAAACGGTTCACGCTTTCAGGCGAGCCTTGATCAAGTCTCACAAGGCCTGCATAAACATTTGCAGGTCCACCAGAATTAATTCCCAAAAATGTTACATCAAAAACGGACAAACCGGTTGTTCCGCATAAACGAACAGGCCCTAGGTCCACTGCACCACATGCAAGTGTTTTGACTGGTTGGTAATAGTTATGTTCAAACTGTTTGTTTGTGTTTTACATCCTATTAACAGATTAGGGATGTGCCAGGTTTTGGTGGAGGATGAAAGCAGAGTACCCACAGAAAAACCACCGACCTGTGGCCAGTACTTGGCCATCATTGCCGTCAGAACTGGTATTGTAAACTATATTCATCACAATAGACCATATAAGTACAAATTATTATGAAACAAATTTTTTAAATAATGATAGCTTTTCAATTCGTTAGCAATGGGTAATTGATCAGGTATATTTAATTTGCCTTGTATGTGTATTTTAATGCTCTCAGGGATAGTTTTCCAGATGAATAAAACGTTCAGTCTTAAATGTGGAGTTTAGGGTCTTTATTTCTGATGTCACAGCAAAAGAATCTAGTATTCACATATATAATCAACATATACCCAAAATTTTAATTATTAAAAAGAAGCAAGAGAAATGAACTAACCTGACTGTCCCAGGTAGGTGACATAGTAATGACCTATTCTTGCCAGTGGTATTTTTAATATTGAGCATGTGACAGTCCTATAGTTACCAAAAAACCTTTTAATTCAGTGCCTTTAATGAAACCTTCAGTATGGCAGAGTACTTACCTCCTCTCCTTTCAGAGAGTATTCATGGTTGAGTAACAATTCCACGGCCTCCACATTTTCTTCGTTGATAGCATGAAGAAGTGAATCCCCAACATCTACATGGTAACTTAGCAACAATTCAATCATTTCAATATTTTCATTCTCAATAGCAACAAGAAGTGCTGTTCTCCCTAGAGGGTCGACACAGTTGATGTTGAGTCCAGTTTGAGTGCCAACACTGAGGTATTGTCGTGTGCTTGGTATGTCACCACGCTCCACTGCCAATAGGTACTGCTTTTCATCATTTGTCAGGTCGACCTCCTTACGTATGACACCCATACCTAAGCAGTCACCATCCATGTCAGTTCCACCCTCATCGACCAGACGCGACGAGTTCATCAGCGTCTCCCGGTAACGGCGGTATACCTTGTCCATATCCTGGTCGTTGTCCGTGAACGACCCTGACTGGGAAGTTGTAGAACCCTGAAATGTAGATGAAACACTATCTTAACATTTGTAGTAAGTCGTGTAACATAAGTGCATTGTAAAGCATAAAACAAAACAAACTCCAGAAAGTGTCTCATGCTGACTAGTTAAGACCAAGTACGAAAAAAACGTTATTCAAGCAATTTTCAATATTACATCTCATTTGAATAAATCATAAATACTGAGTCATAGATATAACTAAAACTGCTGATTTGATCTGCTGTAAGGTGGCTAGAGTATATGATATTTGTGGTTGACTTTCAGGTCTGGAACGTTTCTCCTGTGTACTGGTAATTGTATCAACAAACATGGTATATTTCACGGATAACCTCTGTTAAACTATTCATTGGGTAAACCTTTGTAAAATTATTCCTTAGAAAAAACTTTGCAAGAGATGAATTACCAATGTTTTATTAATTGTTACATGTACAGTGTATATGCATGTGAAAATAATAAAATGAGCACCGCAGGATTGGACTAATGTACCAACCCACCACATTTAATATACTGTTAATGTCCTCCCTTTAGTAGTGCTATACTCACGTCCTCTTAATAACCTCACGAGAGTATTTCAAGTAAATATTATTTATCAATTAGGGTTTCCAAACTCAACAGATGCTGACGTGGGAGATCTCTGCCCACTGGTATTTTTTCATTGTGGCTGATTATTTTTTTTAGATTTTTTTAATTTTCGAAAGAGTTTTTTCAATACAGTGAAAATAATAATGGATCAGTAATTCATTCAGATCATATAATAACCTGTTTGTCACCATTCATCTTTCATATCACCACTCATACCATACCAGTTCTGGTTCTGTAGATATAGGATTTGATTAGAAGAAGAACTTCATTATCAATGCGATTGTAAATGCCTGTGTTATTTACCAAACCAAATAACAATTTTCTTTATTAATATGTAATGTAATTGTTAGTGCATTTAACAACCTTTCAAAACTTGCCAGAAAATTCTGAACCTCATTGTGGCTGATTTACTAAAACAATACTTTATCAACGTATAATTATTTCCAAGGAATTAGTTCATAAGATATTACAAAACAGGTGTCAATTAGATTTTAAGGATTTTTACCTTATTTAGTTAACAATCTATCAAATTGTTAGTATGTGTCAGGGTGCTTCCCTGACTGTTTTAGCTGATATGCTTCATTTCAAATGATGTTGAAGATTGCCAATTGCCATGTTGGAGAGGTGACCGAGGAAAGGTGAGATTTAGCTCATATATACTTTTCTTCACTTTTATAAGTATTTTATCTGCATATTCTGATGCATTTAAAACACAAGGTAAAAGAAAATATTGTATCTGTTCCTTACATAACATACAGTCTCATCAATATAATTGTTAGATTTTCTAAAATATTTTTAAAATCCATATTTAATAACAATGCCATTGGGTTGAATTCATATATTCTATTATAATCTATCACATGTTTATATCATTATCAGGATATTTCATGTTATGTAACTAGGCCCTGAACATGTATGTTAAACATTATTAAGCCTGATCATGTAATGTTTTGTCATGTGACTAGGTCCTGATCATGTATGTCTATGTAATGTGACTAGGTCCTGATCATGTTTGTCTGTGTAAGGTGACCAGGTCCTGATCATGTTTGTCTGTGTAAGGTGACCAGGCCCTGATCATGTATGTCTGTGTAATGTGACTAGGTCCTGATCATGCATGTCTGTGTAAGGTGACCATGCCCTGATCATGTTTGTCTGTGTAAAGTGACCAGACCTGGTCTTGTATGTTAGTTGTTAGGAAAATATTTTTAAAATCCATATTTAATAACAATGCCATTGGGTTGAATTCATAGATTCTATTATAATCTATCACATGTTTATATCATTATCAGGATATTTCATGTTATGTAACTAGGCCCTGAACATGTATGTTAAACATTATTAAGCCTGATCATGTAATGTTTTGTCATGTGACTAGGTCCTGATCATGTATGTCTATGTAATGTGACTAGGTCCTGATCATGTTTGTCTGTGTAAGGTGACCAGGTCCTGATCATGTTTGTCTGTGTAATGTGACTAGGTCCTGATCATGCATGTCTGTGTAAGGTGACCATGCCCTGATCATGTTTGTCTGTGTCAAGTGACCAGACCTGGTCTTGTTTGTTAGTTGTTAGGAAACTAGGCCCTCATCATGTATATTTATAGTAAGGTGACTAGGCCCTGGTCACATGTCTGTGGCATGATGGCTAGGTCCTGATCATGTATTTCTGAGGTAAAGTGACTATAATCTTATGTATGTCTATGGTAAGGTGATTAGGCCCTGATCATGCTTGTCTGAGGTAAGGTGACTAGAACCTCATGTACGACAGTTGTAAGGGGATCATGCACTGATCATGTTTATCTGTGCTTAGGTGACTAGGCCCTGATCTTGTATGTTGATTGTGAGGTGACTAGGCCCTGATCTTGTATGTTGATTGTAAGGTGGCTAGGCCCTGATCTTGTATATTGATTGTAAGGTGACATGGCCCTGACCTTTTACATTGGTTGTAAGGTGACCAGGCCCTGAGTTTTTACATTGGCTGTAAGGTGACCAGGCCCTGAGTTTTTACATTGATTGTAAGGTGACCCGGCCCTGAGTTTTTACATTGAATGTAAGGTGACCAGGCCCTGAGTTTTTACATTGAATGTAAGATGACCAGGCCCTGATTTTTTATATTGAATGTAAGGTGACCAGGCCCTGAGATTTTACATTGGTTGTAAGGTGACCAGGCCCTGATTTTTTACATTGGTTGTAAGGTGACCAGGCCCGGAGGTTTTACATTGAATGTAAGGTGACCAGGCCCTGAGTTTTTACATTGGATGTAAGGTGACCAGGCCCTGAGTTTTTACATTGGTTGTAAGGTGACCAGGCCCTGAGTTTTTACATTGGTTGTAAGGTGACCAGGCCCTGAGTTTTTACATTGGTTGTAAGGTGACTAGCTGGGCACTACTAAGATAAATGTTAAAGTGTATGGACAAGGCAACACCACAAATCACATCTAAATCAATATGGTTAAGGAAGCTTAGAAGCCTGGCCCACTTTTGTAGAACCTGTTTCCAAGGAGATTTACATATAAATAACAAAAAAGGAAGTTGAATATATAATACAATTGTAGATCCATGGATGATGTAATAATAATCTATATACAGTATCACTTTTAGCTAATGACTGTAGATCCATGGGTGGTGTAATGGCAAATATATTACTATAGTTCCATGATTGCTGTATACAGAAAATAATAATAATAGTAATAATTTGAGGTTCTTATATACCGCTTTATCACAACATAGTTTGTAGGTCGTCTCAAGGTGGTTCACAAATTATTATCCGTGGTTATAGGGCCTTTGCAACCAGCCAATATTTTTCTCAACTCCCTGGGGAGCATACAGCCGGTGCTGCCATTTCGGCGCTCACAGCTAGCATTCTACAATTCTAGCACTGCCCAACCACATACTTATTTACAGCTGAGTAGACTGGAACAAGCGGAGTAGAGTATCTTGCTCAAAGATACAACACAGTGCCGTGCTTTGACGCGATCCCACAACTCTATTCCCTTTCACCATTGCTTCCTCTCCCTCAGTTACATTTCTTTACAGTACCTTTCAGTCTCCTGCCCCCTATCACAGTAATTTCCACTCCTCCAGTTTTCCACATTCCCACTGACATTCCATTCTCTGGCCCTTCCCTATCTAAATCCCCCCACCCCGACCCCTCTTCACAATTTTCTTTTATCTTTCCCTTTCCTTCCTTTTTCAATTCTTATTTATTTTACCTTTCTTCTCTATCTATTATTTCCTCAGTTTTTCTCTCTGCTCTCTTTGTTTCCCACTCAAATTTCCTGTGTCTTTCTTTTTCTTGGACTCAATATTCACTTGTCATTGCTTTCGTTCCCAGAGACACATCTACATGTTTCTTCTATTGACTCAATCAATATTTCATAAATATCAACAAAAATAACAACAGCACTTAATCACACACATTTATACAGACAGATTTACATGGCCATCACTGGCCCTGCTGCGAGAGTTTGACAATGGTGTTTTCCTCCCTGATACACTCCAATATATTGTTATACTATACTCTTGTTGCAGCAGCACACCAACAAATTAGCAGGCCTACAATGCCAGACACTTTCACAGCCAGAATCAATGCCTGTTCTGTTTACAATGTGGAGACAAATTAACCAGAAGGGAGAGCTAACAACAAATGATAGCCACACCAGCGCTATACCGTATCAATAGGACAGTTTTTCTTGATGACCAGATTAATGTCACAGGGCAGTTCCCAAATTAATTTGGCAGGAAGAGGCTTGACCAATGAACTGGATATTAACTATTGCTGGCATGACTACAATAGCTTTGAGTGGGTGGTCAAATGAAGTTTGTATCAATAGAGGAGTTAAACAAGCTTGGGGATGTGACCAGTTCATATCTAGAGAGGGGCTACACAAGCTTGGGGATGTGACCAGTTCATATCTAGAGAGGGGTTACACAAGCTTGGGGATGTGACCATGGCCAGTTCATATCTAAAGAGAGGGGTTACACAAGCTTGGGGATGTGACCAGTTCATATCTAGAGAGAGGTTACACAAGCTTAGGGTGTGACCAGTTCATATCTAGAGAGGGGTTACACACGCTTCGGGATGTGACCAGTTCATATCTAGAGAGGAGTTACACAAGCTGGGGGATGTGACCAGTTCATATCTAGAGAGGGAGTTACACAAGCTTGGGGATGTGACCAGTTTATATCTAGAGAGAGGTTACACAAGCTTAGGGTGTGACCAGCTCATATCTAGAGAGGGTTAAACAAGCTTAGGGTGTGACCAGTTCATATCTAGAGAGAGGTTCCACAAGCTTGGGGATGTGCCCAGTTCATATCTAGAGAGAGGTTACACAAGCTTAGGGTGTGACCAGCTCATATCTAGAGAGGGTTAAACAAGCTTAGGGTGTGAGCAGTTCATATCTAGAGAGAGGTTACAC